TTCTATTCTATTCTATTCTATTCTATTCTATTCTATTCTATTCTATTGGGCTTAGTTTTGGGGGAGGAAAATAAGGGTGAAAAAATTCTGCCTCTGCCCACCAGCAGCCATTGGTATTCATCTGGCTAGCATCCCGTCCGTGTGTGAGAGAGTCGAGGGCTGCTTGGAAACTGAAGCAGTATTTGCTGTGTGAGCAAGAAGGAGACAGCAAGGAGCCTTGGCGTGGCTCAGCTCAACTGTCCTGTACTAAAGCTGCTTGGTGCTGTGAAAGTGAAAGTGAAAGTCCTCTCCTCTGCTTTTGTGTTTTGCCTTTGGAAGAGATTTCTTCTTTTCAGGTGGGGAGGGGGAGTAGAACTCCTTAGCATCAGAGCGTGTTAATAATAATAATACTATAGGAAATACTCTAAATGCTCCGATGGTTGGAAAAATCCTTTCTTAGTGAGCTCCTAGAAGCCAAGAGGAACATATATATGTGCCCAACTTTCAAGTTTGTAGGCTTTACGGTTCTGGAGATTTTGTGATGACGGGACGCTAGCCAGGTGAATATCCATGGATGCTGGTAGGCAGAGGCAGAATTTCCTCCCCTCCCTTATTCCCCCCCCCAAAAAAAAACTAAGGCCGACCACAGTTGCCTAGCGAAGCACATGGGTATCAAGCTAGTATATATCTATAATGCAATAGGAGTCCGTCAGCAAGTGCCTGAATTTTGATCACGTGACCAAGGAGATGCCCAAACGGTCGTAAGTGTGAGAAATGATGCTAAGTCCCCTTTTTTTGTCAGCGCGGGGATCAAAATTTGGAGGCTGGGCAAATGGTTTATATTTACGACGGTCTCCGTGATCCCCCCTTTGCGATCTTTGGGCAAGGGAGCCGGATTTATTTAACAACCGTGTGACTAGATTAAGAATGGAAACGATTCGCTTAACAAAGGGGGCAAGAAAGGTTGTAAAACGGGGTGGGGGTGAGGGGTGAAATCCCACTGAAGAAATGTCTCGTGGGGCAACGTAAATTTTGGGCTCTGTTGTGGACGTTAAGGCGAGGGCTGCCTGAAATTGAGTTGGAAGGGAACCTCAGAGACCTTCTAGTCCAACCCTCTGCTTAAGACAGGAGATTTATACAGAGTAGTCAAGTTGGAGGGAACCTCAGAGGTCTTCCAGTCCAACCCTCTGCTTAAGACAGGAGATTTATACAGAATAGTCAAG